ATAGACTTTCAGTGTACCTGAGGAATTTCAGGTGTGATGAATCTGGTAGGGAAGGAGCTTAAATTTAACCAAGAAAATGCACCTGTGGACCACCCTGGGTAGTATCAGCTGGGGCCCAGAAGTTGCAGCCTTCTTAAAAGTACAACTTTAAGCTGTGATTTCTTTGTCTCCATTGTACCTATCTTTTATTTCTTCTATCCTACCTTAAACCCTGGCCTTCACACTGAGCTACATCCCTAGCCCTTTTCTGTTTTCAGACAGGCCCTCAATAAGTCACTAAATTGCCAGGGCTGGATTTGTACTTCTGATCTGCCTGCCTCAGTCTTCCAGAGTATTACGGATGCGGGCTGCCACACAGGGCCCTGACTAGCTTTTCCACCACAGACATTCATTATTCGTAGTTCTGGAATCCAAGAAGTCAAAGATCAAGGTATTGGCAAAGTTAGTGTCTGGAAAGAGTTTACTTTCTGGTGCCTCCTTTCTTAGTCCTCACATGGTAGAAGGAGAGCAGGATTTTTCTTTGGTTTTGTCAAGGCTGGGGGTTGGAGCAGTACTTTGGCAGGTGAGATCCCCAGGGAAAAGAATGTATGAGGGGCAGACATTTTTTCCAAAGGCAGGTAGCAGCAAAGAGCAGCTGTGTCTGTGTTGTTGATTTCTTATATATTCTGGTATCACATCTTTACATTCTTCTATGCTGTCCTTACTAGCACATGTGTGGTTTGCTATAGCTAAGTCATGGTTACATAAGTATGTCCCCATCTATGCCTGTGCTAGACAGTGGATTTACATCTTTAACATGTCCTCTGGTGACCTGAGACCCAGTTTTTGAAGTGTCCCCCACAGGCCTCGTTTTGTATTGTTTTATTGAGGCAGGATCTCACTGAGTAGCCCACGCTGGCCTTGTACCTGTTTGGCGTCTTTTTTAAGCATATACAGTGTATTCATGAATACTGAGGGTGTCACTCTCACTGCTTACTCACCTCCCGAAAGGTCCATATCTTAATAAGTTACTTTGGGAAGTTAGGATTTCAACATATAGACTTTTAGGAGATACAAACATTCAGAGCACAGCAACCCTATTTTTACATGTACCTATTCAATCATTTGTCAAACTTTGATGCAAGGCCAAGGCTTTGTCTTCTTATTCTTCCTTACATAAGTGATATCCCTTGTTTAGAATTTCCAGTTTCCTTATTTAGTGTGTCATGCTTAGGGGCCTGAACAGGTACTTTGGCAGGTGCAACCCTAGGGAAAAGAATGCACACAGAGCAGATGTTCATTCAAAAGGCAGGTGGCAGCAGGAAAGAACAACTGTGTCTGTGTTGTTTATTTCTTATATATGATGTTATCATCTATTCACATTCTTCTATGCTGGTCTAAGCAGTTCATGCATGGTTTGCTACAGCTAAGCCTTGGTTACATAAACATATCCTGGTCCATGCCTGCTCTAGACAGGGATTCATTTCCATAACATGTCCTCAGAGGACCTGAGATCCAAGCTTTGAGGCCACAGTGTCCCCCACACAGTGTTACTGGGATTCTGGGGTGCTATGGGGTCGTTCTATAGATTTTTGGTGTCCTGAACAAAGAATTGGACAAAACATATGACACAGGTAGTGAGACTTTATATTTATTAAAGGCAGGAAAATAAGTGTGCTCTGTAAAGTGAGAGCCCACCACTGAGAAGGAGAGACCACAGTGTCAATGAAGCTAACGGTGACCATCTTTCCGTCTTTTGTACCCCACCCCCTAGCTGATGTCAATCTAGGTTGTCCTATCAAAAACCTGCCTCGTCTCATGCCAGAAGAATTGAAGATACAATTTCAGATTGGTCTCAGGTGCAGGGCTTGGGCACATATGTACTGGGTCTCTGTGATTGGCAGGTGATATCAACTTGCCCAGCTGGCTGGCCATGCCCAAATCTCCTTCACCAGCACTGTGAGAGATTGAGGAAGAGAGATTACAAGTCTGAGCCCAGCCTTGGTAACTTAACAACTTCATAGGCCCTGTCTCAAAAAAATAAAAAATAAAAAATGAAAAGGGCTGAGAATGTAGCTCAGTGCCAAGGCCCTGGGTTCATTCTCAGTACTGAAGAAAAAAGAATTTCCATGTGGAATAAGATTATTGAGTAATCTTTGTTCATAATTCATTTAGAGTTTTCCAGTTATGTTGTATCTGTTCCAATTAAAGTTGAGGTCAACATTTTTGTTTTGTTGTTTTTGCTTTTTAGATACTCACTTGTACTGAATCATACAAAACAATTCAATGTAGTTTTAAAATTTTTTTTATTTTTTATTTTTTTGGTGCCAGGAATTGAACTCAGGATCTTGTACTTGCTACACAAGTGTTTGTGCTGCTGAGCTATATCCCTGGCCCTCAATGTCATTTTTTAAAATGTCATTTTGTAGAAGGCCAGGCATGGTGGTGCATACCTATAATCCCAGCACTCAGGTGGCTGAGGCAAGAGGATCGTTGCAGGTTTGAGACCAGCTGGGGCTACAGAGTGAACTCAAGGCCAGCCTGAACTGCACAGCAAGACTCTGCCTCAAAAAGACAAAAAACAAGAAAAAAGTTATTTCATAGAAATAATCACATTTTTGTTTTTCCATTCATATTTCATCAGTTTATGTAGTAATCACATGGACAATGGCTTCTAGGCCTTTTGGCTGCGATCAAGTGTACTATCTGTTCTTATCAGCTTAATATCTGATACATCCTCTTTTTTTTCCTCGACACTTCCTCTTGGAGCAGAAAATGGCCCCCATTATTTCACAGGTAACCTGCAGTTTACTTTAATTCCTGTTACAGTTCCTGTTACTTCTGTTTCTCAGAAACGGCTGATCGTTATGATGCAGGGCTGGTCACTGTGATGTACATTGTGAGAACCAGTCAATGACCACCAAATACTCTGCTTCTTGCTTGCAAACCCCATAAAAACCTGTGTCCCTGAGCCTTTCAGGCCCAACATTTTTTTTCTTGAGGTCAGCATCTTTCAACATTAAATAAATCTCCCTCCAAATCCTGGGTGATGTTTTGGTGTTTCTGCTTGCACTCTATCTGAGGACAATATTTTAAGTGGATTTTTGAAATTGGGAGATGGAATAGGAGCTTACTCCATGTCTTAGTTACTTTTCTTTTGCTGAGACAAAATCCCCAACACCCAAAATTAAAGGGGGAAGGTGTATTTAGCTCACAGTGTGTGGAGGTTTCAGTCCATAATTAGCTGGCTCCAAGGCAGGGTGGCACATGGCAGAAGAGCAACAGTTCACAGCCGCTAGGGCCAGGGGAGGACAGCAAAAGCAGCAAGAGCGAAAGAGGAAAACAAGACTCTGTCTCTTTTATCTTATCTAGACTGCTGGGATTAGGGATTAGGGCAGTGGGAATCCAATCAGTGGACTGATCCAGCAGTTGCTCAGCCTTAATCCCAGCATGGCACTATGAATCAATCACACCCTCTAGATTCAGCTGCCTCCGAGAAACCTGACCCCCATGACTGCATGAGGCTTTGAGGGGACCTCCAGACACAAACCATAAGACTCTATTCATGCCATACATCACGTTGGTATTACAGCACTTCCAGGGATCCCCGTGGGGAAACAAAGAAATTAGAAGTGTAAATGACATATACAGACTTGGGAACAAAGATCTTGGTAAGAATCTGTTTAATGGGTAGGAGCAGAAGTACTTGGATATTATAGATAGCCTGGTAGCCACTAATGGTAACTTTGAGTGGAAAACAGTAGTAGAGACTGACCAGTAATCTGGTTAGTAGGTTAGGTAGAGGTCGGGTAGTACAGGTTTTTTCTTTTCTTTTCTTGTTTTTTTTTTTTTTTTTTTTT